AAAAAAAAAAGTTTATGCTACTGGAAAGGTAGGCTATCAAGGGAAGATGCTTCAAAATTGTTTGAGCAGGTGTTACCCTATTCCAAACAGAAGAAAAACGCATCTAGGTAACGGTCTTCTCTCAGTCAGTTTAACAAGAAATGGACTAACAGCAAAAGTCCCATCCCTCTGAGTTAATATGGACTAAATAGACTTATTCAAATCCCCCCAGAGTCAGGTAAGATCGATTAGATAGAAACACCAAGCTGTGAGGGAGAGAAGAGGACCTGGCCACATCCTGGGTCTTAGGCTCTGCAATCCATGGAGTTAATTAAAGCTACATCAAACCAGCACTGTTTCTGAAAGAATATTCCATGAAACTGGGCCTTAGAATATTTAAAACTGTCAACCTCCCTTTCTTAAATACAATTAAGTTTGCATAAATCCCCCAAATCCTGTTTTCATCTACGTAAGCATATCAGCTAATAGAATCTACCAAAATGGAAACATCAAATAGAGATCAAATAATGTACAGAAACAGGGATACCTTGATTCCCGGGCAATGAGCAAAAAACGCTTCTGGACTCTGAGAATGGTAGAGAGCCCCGTGGCCAACACAGCCCCACGGGGACCGGATGGTGAGGCTGCCACAGTTGAAAAGGTCCCCAGAGCGGTAGCGGTACTTGGCGGCCTCATTAACAATCTGGAAGACAGAAAGGAATGTGTCACAGTGAGTTCTTTCTGCCTCACACACTTTCTTAAAACTCTATTAGATCTTTAAATACAGTAGAACCTCTGCCATTGACCACCTGCCTACACTGACCACCTCCGTAAGTTATCCTTATTTTCACAGATCAGGCATGCGTTTACCTACCAGAACACCAAGCCTCATTCCTTCTGCTGGCCACCTACGTGTGTTGACCAGTTTATTCCAGCCCCTTGGGTGGTCAACTTACAGAGGTTCTACTAGATACTTTCTTAAAGTGATAACTGTAGTATACTAGTTCAAAATATTCCTAACATAGCGGGATTGAGGGTGGAGGTGATACTTCTATGCTTCCTGGACTGAACCACCTTGGAAATGCTCATTTATACTAAAATGATACACTCACCTGATCAAACGCAGGGAAAATGTAATCTGCAAACTGGATTTCTGCGATGGCTGTAGCACCAGTGACAGCAATTCCAATTCCAAATCCAACAATCCCTTGCTCACACAGTGGAGTATTAAAAACTCTATCTTTTCCTAGAAAATGAAAAGAACGTTAATGCAGCGAATGAGAGTAACGTAAAACACATTACATGTGAAAATGTAGTGAGCTTCGCAGCAAGATGGAGGAGCACAGGACAGGTGGAAAAACCGAAAACAGACAGCATGATGGCTGATCTGAGAGCAATCAATACATTAACTAAGTCATCTAAATGGTCCACTTAAAAGATTGTCATACTAAAATAGAAGAAGCCAATTACTTAAAACCCAAACTATAAAAATAAAAAATAATTGTAAGTAAAAAGAAAAAAATACACCGAAAAACAAAACAAAGCTGATGCTATTAAATTAGTAGTAGACAAAGTAGACTCTCGGGAAAGGCATACCAGAGATAAAGAGAGAAAATTCACACTGTCAAAAGTTTCAATTCACAGCTTAGCACCTGAGCTAAGTGGTTAGGGCGCCGGCCACATACACCAGGGCCAGCAGGTTCAAACTTGGCCCAGGCCTGCTAAACAATGACAACTGCAACCAAAAAATAGCTGGGTGTTGTGGTGGGCACCTGTAGCCCCAGCTACTTGGGAGGCTGAGGCAAGAGAATCACTTAAGCCCAGGAGTTTGAGGCTGCTGTAAACTGGGAGGCCACAGTACTCTACAGAGGGTGACATAGTGAGACTCTGTCTCCAAAAAAGAAGTTCCAATTCACAAAAAGGATATAACAATTGTAATATCACCTAATGACGGGCTCCAAATGGGAAAAGTTAAGAAAAAGGAGAAATGGACAAATTAACAATACATGCATAGTGGGAGATTTTTAACTCACCAGCCTTAATAACTGATAGAAAAGGCATACCAAAGGGGGAGGGCAAAAAAATAGAAAGGATTTAAACATGACTAACAAACGTGACCCACTGGCACACATAGAACACTGCACCCAACAGCTAAGAATACAAATCCTTTTCAAATAAACAGAAAACACTGACGTTGGACCCACAACCCGGTGAATGATCAATCTCAACAAACATTAAAAGATTAAAATCATAGAAAGCACATTCTCTGACCTTGGTGGAATTAAAATAGAAATAAGTAGGAAAAAGTATTTAGAAAATCCTTACACTAGAAGACTTTTAAAATATATGTCTAAAGAACCTATAACACAGCGGTTCTCAACCTGTGGGTCATGACCCCTTTGTCACAATGAAAATACATCCTGCATATCAGATATTTACATTATGATTCATAACAGTAGCAAAATTA